CTGCCTCTACACTCACATGGCATACTCCTGTCACTGCAACATACCTCCATCGCACCCTTTTAATCATGGTGTGTACTTAAGCCTTTGGTGCTCTGCCCACTCTCTTGCTTCATGCCGGCTGCCACATAACTCACCTGAAAGCAACTGTATGCTGTCACTATACTACTGCTGTGCATATAGAATCTCAAAAGCCCCATCTTCACCTCCGCATCCACCAGGCTCTGAGTCTTCCCTTCTTGAGGAAAAGAGTATCCTTGTTCCATACTCCCTCCTTAGTCTTTTCTCAAGGGGGGGCTACGAGGTCATCGTGTCGACACTTAACATCTATGTTGTATATGTTCTACACTCAAGTATCTGTTCCACATGAGTTGACTCACTGAAATGCACTGAGCTGCAGAAAAATGTCTGAACCAGCTTTAAAAGTTGAGTTATTGAAATGTTACTCTTGGTGGGCCACTCGTAAACCAAATGTACCAGCAGATTGCAATGACATTTGCAGATTAGAAAGTCTCCATGAAATTGGGTTGCTTTAAATAACTTTATTATTATGAAATGAGGAGTGTGTTAAAGAAAATGATCAATATATTTGACAATACAATACACAAATGTCTTCAGACCTCCACAATCCTGTCTTTGAATCCCATTGTAACAATACGTCAAGTGGATAACAACACATTTTACACCAAAATACTAATAACTCTTTTTTTGTGGCGATTCATTTTCCGGGTCTCCTCCTAGGTCTCCTCTCTCATTTCAAACCACACCAGTTGCATTATTTTGAGAGACCAACTCATTCACAGTAGCATTAAGATGTATTTCCCTTGTCTAATATATGAAAAAATGGTCATTAGTAATAAAAATAACACTGATGCTAGTTCCCAATACCAGGTATGCCTTTTTACTGTATATGTCTTTTTACCCAATCCAATCCAATCTAAACAGGAATTTTAGTGTTATAAGAGCCTGTCAACATCAGACATGCCCACAGGCTGATACACTGTTGAACAGGCGGATACAGATGGGCAGTCGGACAGATGGATGGAGCAACAGAAAGGCACACAGGCAAGCTGGCTGGGTGGCCGGTTGACGATGAAGACTGGCTGTCTGGGATCATTGAGTGGCTGCCCGATTATATAAGCTGGTTGAATGTTTGGACAGTTGACCATTGGATGAACAACCCGGCTGACTTATTTTTGCATAAATGTCAAACAGCTGTAGGATCAGTGTGCTGGCCTGATTGGGAGGGAGAGCGAGATGGAGAGGAGGAGAAGCGTCAGACAGAGAGAGAGAAACGGAGCTAGACAGGGATATAGAATCATGTTGGTCCATCAGTACAACGACAGACGATTACTGCTCATTACCTGATTGACTGATCTGATGTGTGTGTGTGTGTGTGGGTGTTACAGCACCATTTCATTCCCAGAGACAGACATTAATGGGATGATAATGCTTATGTTTGAATATACACCATGTGTTTAAGTTCATGTGTACATTTTGCACCGCTAATGGTGATTTACAACCGTCTATTTGTGCATATAAGGAATGTTCCAATGTTTTTCCCAATGAATACATAATTCATTGATAAACTTGATATTATATTCATCAAGGTCGATGCCAGAGTTTCTTTAAAGGCCTTCACAAACAGGTTTGCCTCTGCAGTTTTCAGTAGCAGCCGTGGTTGTTTCAAAAATGCAGACGGATCAATAGAAGTCTCATACATATCCGCCAACCACTCCTTAAATCTCTGACCAGTGTCAACAATTCACCATGGCCCCAAGAAGAAATGCTCTTAAAAGTTCATAGGCCTGCATGAAATAATACAAAATCAAGGAGCAAAGCATGATTACAATAATTACTTATAGCCACGCCACTTGGTTTACATGTTATTTGTTGAGTGGTGAAATATTCATGTGAGCATGCAACCGCTGTCGCCTGTGGGCCACCAAGGTGATTTATTATAGCCTGTGAGGCGATGCTCTGTCTGGTGGAGAAAAATAGAAGGTACTCTCAAAATGCAGCACACAGTGTCTCACTGCCAAAGAAAGAAATGCCAATCACATGTAATCCATAGAATCCTTAAAGATATATAGTGTATATGATATATAATAAAAACGGATGGATGAGGCTAGGGCTGGATGATTTGCAAATATCACACAATATTAAGCAACCACACAAGTGAAAACCGTTATTAATTAATACAACTTGAAATATCATCTTAAAACTAAAATACAGTTTTGTAGATTAATGGATCATAGTCAAGGTTTCACGGGGTGTTTCTTAAATTTACTCAACGGACATTTTAAAACTATTAGCATGCCCTACCCTCTACTGGTATATCCAGCGCACAACATGGACCTGAATACTCCATCTCAAAAAATCATCTCGGAGCCAAAATATCCCAGCATTTCAATTACTTGCTCAGTAATCAAACTTCATACCAATTGAAAAAAAGGTGCCAGACACTGCTGTGGCTAAGTAAAGAAAACATCTTATTAACACCTATTAGAGGCAAAGCCTTTCTCCTCCTCCTCCTCCTCCTCCATTCTCGCGTCTCACCTTTCCGTGCTGTCCTTCCATCTCTCTCTTCTTTTCCCTCCATCTCTCTTTCCGTTTGTCGCTTTTCATGTGCTTCCTCCATCCGTCCTTTGTGTCCTTTGTGTCCTTGCTTTGAGGCCAGAGAATTCAAATCATTCATTTTTCTCCGTGCTCTGTTTTCACTGTCCTTTTTTGTTAAATGGCTCACACTGTTGTGTCTATCCACCTTTCTTTCCCTTTGGCTTTATCCAAATCATTTTTTCCTCTTTTCCACTTCTCACTTTCATTCTCTCCTTTTTTGTGTTTCTCCCCATAGCCCACCTCTCGGTTGACCGAGCAGATCTTTCAAATGATGAAAAAATATGAGTAGAAAATGACTGCCACTAACATAGAAACTAGATTAATTGTTGTCATACCTTGATTACATCAGCACTTGAAACCTGTGTTAATGTTTGTCTACTTGCATTCCCTTTAGTTTTTGTCTCTCCTCGTCTTTCATACTTTTGTGGTGTAGAGAACCAAGGACAATTGATTAATCAAAATGATGTCCAATCATTGTTCTGCTGATTTGGATATACAGTATCAAAAGCTACTTGACTCTGTACTTCAGTTTGCTCGCTCTTCCATGTACACTCGAAAGTAAAATAGGCTCACTTAATGCTTGTTCATTTCCTGCCCTGCTTAAACAGTGACGTAATTAAATGTAAAAGTGAAATGATACATAGCATATATAAAAACAACTGAAAAATATTAAAAGTTAATACATGGTATTTTCTGTTCATTCCTATTTGTGTTGCTGCTTGTCTGGTTCTTGGTCTGGTCGCAGTGGCAGCAGGAAAATCAAGGTAGACCAGGAGTCCCTCAGAGTTCCTCATTCGTGGTCTGCACCTCTTCCTGGGGGAGATCCAGCCCTTCCCAGGCCACATAGAAAACTCCCTCCAGTGGGTTCTTGTTCTGACCCAAGGTCTCCTCCCAGTGATAAGTGTCCAGAATAAATCCACAGAGAGCTATCCACAGGCAATCTGACCAGATTTTAAAATCATCTCAGCTGGCACTTTTCAATACAAGATAGCAGTGGTTCTAGTGGTATTTTGGTCCCCTGCATGTTGTTCAGCCTTTCTTCCCAGAGCTTTGGGGGGGGGGGGGGGGG